GTTGTTCATCATCATCTGATGACTGGAGAAAGTCAACAGCTCTGGCATCATTCTCACTATCTGAATCCATATTAACCTAAAAAATGAACCAAGACTGGAACTAATCAAACATCCATATAACATTAACTAATCAAACGAAGAACTCCAATGTAATTCAATCCGACTAAAAACAAATAACAAAGTCTAACAAACACAAGTCCAAGAGGAAAATCTGTTGTACATGCTCAACAATACTTAAAAAAAAAACATACGTCCGAGAGGAAACAAATAAAGAAAATAACACAATAATCATTTAAACTACAGGCTTTGAATCCATGAAAGATGACGACAATAGGGCATTTTCACAAACATCCTCATAAGGGAAATGTCAACCGCCAACTGGTGCGCTGCCTTAGTATATGCATTGTCGTCTAAATACTCTCCATACTCATTCAGCAAATCCATACAGGTTTCAATACTTGTAGTTGGATCCTTTTTCTGAGCCTCGGCTAATGCCATAGTACGGGCTTGCCTATCAGCTAAATATTGCTGAAACAAATCAACCTTTTGAACAGATGTCTCACTACGTATGGTAGCACTCTTTGCCAAAGCCTCTATAGCCGCGTCAACTGCACTGTTGTTCTTGCCCTTCTTCTTGGTTCAAGTAGTAGGACCCTGAGACCGTCTGTTTCTATTATCTTCCGCACCCCGGACTTCATCCGAGTCCCCTGTACCCTCCTCCACCTCTTCCGGTTGTATGGCCACCCTTTTCGCCACATTCAAAACATTAACGGCAGTATGTGCATTCATTGACCCCTGTCCAGTAGCAATAGTCCCAAAAAAAATCTGTGAAAGTTGGGCAAAGTTCTGCAAACCCCCTTTCTTGAATTTCTTACCCTCAGGATGTTTCTGACATTATAAAGAAAACAAGAGTAAATACTCATGTGCAATCCAAACACCAATTCAACTCTTTCATATAACATAAGATGTTAATACTCCAAACTTCCCGCCACATATGAATCCCATACTTCTTTTTCAGCTGTGACAGTGTTAGCCTCAGAATCCCAACCAAACCCTGTTGTTTCAATTAATGCCTTAAACTCCCTCGTGCTACGTCTAAGCCTATTCCACTTTGCTTTAAGTTGGTCTGACGTGAAATGCTTACCAAACTTAAGTGCTATTTCATTAGCAATTTTCATCCACGTTTTTTTGTCCAGAGTGGATGTTTGCATCCTAGTCTTTGACTCTTCGTATATCAGTTCTACATAAAAATTCTCAATTGCGGCCGGCCATTTCGTATTATCGTCCTTATCACACATCTAAAATAACACTTTTAGCAATTAAAATAAATGTCAATTTGTAAAGTATATGCACACACACAGACATAGACACACGCAGGGTCTGATGGGGGCTGATTATCAGCCCCCATTGGGGCTGATTTTCAGCACCCATCAGGGCTGATTTTCAGCCCCTATTAGGGCTGATAATCAGCCCCCAATGGGGTTGAAGGGGACTGAAAATCAGCCCTCATCAGGGCTGATAATCAGCCCCATTGGGGGCTGATAGGGACTGATTTTCAGCCCCCATTGGGGCTGATAATCAGCCCCCAATGGGGTTGATGGAGGCTGAAAATCAGCCCCCATCAGGGCTGATGGCAGCCCCCATTGGGGCTGATAATCAGCCCCCAATGGGGCTGATGGGGGCTAATTTTCAGCCCCCATTGAGGCTGATAATCAGCCCCCAATAGGGTTGATGGGGGCTGAAAATCAGCCCCCATCAGGGCTGAAAATCAGCCCCATTGGGGGCTGATGGGGGCTGATTTTCAGCCCCCAATGGGGCTGATGGGGGCTGATTTTTAGCCCCCATTGGGGGCCTCCCAGGCCAGCCCCAAAGGGAGGCCCCCAGGGGCTGATGGGGGATGATTTTCAGCCCCCATTGGGGGCCTCCCAGGCCAACCCTAAAGGAAGGCCCCCAGGGGCTGATTCAGCCCCAACGGGGGGCCTCCCAGGGGTTGATACAGTCCCAATGGGAGGCCCCCAGGGGCTGTATCAGCCCCAACGGGTGCCTCCTGGGGAAAAAGAAAAAAAAAGGGAAAAAAATCAGATCAGATTAAGCATAGGATAGAAAAATAAATACCAAATCAAACGGAAAACAACAACCAATTTGGTTGAATATAGCAAATCAAACGGCGAGGCAACGGAAAAGAAAAATAAAAAAACAAATTGCTCAACCAAATCGATCGGAAAATCAAACACGTTCAAACATTTTTGGCTAGGGGCATACCTCGGTGAGAAAACGGAGAACAGCGCAGATTGGGCAATAAGAGACCGGAGGAGCTCAGGCGAACGGAGGTGCTCCGGTGAGAAGCAAACGACGCAACTCTTGGGCGAGAAGAACGCCGGGGCTCGGCCGGGAAGAAGAGATTGGCTGAAGAAGGGAAGGGAAAAAGGAAGAAGAGCTCGGCTGAAGGGGAAGAAAAAATTGAAGAAGGAGAAACGGGGGAGGATGATCGAGGAAGAAAGAAGGAAACCAAAAATGAAAACAAGAAAATGAAAACGGATTTTTTCCGTTTTCAAAATTCCGGAAAACGACAAAAACATTTTTGTTTTTGTTTTCTGACACAAACTTCGCCAAACACGTTTTTTGGCTCCGTTTTTAATTTTTTGCTTCGAAAAATGTGAGAAATGAAAACGGAAATGCTAACAAA